CTTCAAACACGCAACCTTTTTCAGAGATATGATCTGTTAGTAAATGAAGGATACTATCTGGTAGAGCCACAAAGAGTTTTATGTAGAAACTTTACCAGAAAATTGGGTTAATTGTCAGCTCTTACATTATAGATCCGCTATGAAAAAGTGGACTTTTACAGATTGAAATTTTACAGATTGAAATGTTACCACTTGAAAACAAACACAAACGTAAAAAAAACAACTCCTTTATTGTATTATCATTGGCTAGACTTATTTTATAAACTGTTCACAACTAGAGTCTGTGGGCCAAATTTATATACCTGCTCACTAGAGTGAGCAGGTACAAGGCAGTTGAAGTCAACTGTATACTCTCAAAACAGAGGAGAGACCTGCAACTTCAGTTTGTACTGTCATGTGTTTTCTTTCTTTTTCAGTCTGCAGAACTTTGGAGGACAATGCATTAGGAGCCTTTGGAAGAAGTTGGGTGGAGGGCTACAGTGTTGATGAATGAGAGCTGAGAATCACTCAGTCCTATACAGAGGAATCTCCAATGAAATCACAAAGGGTTTTTGTCATTTTATATCATGTTTTGGTCATTTCTTTAAAGTAAGGAAATGAAGGGCAGGGTTTGAGCATGCTAACTCATCTAACTGTAACTGTAATAAAGGTAAGCAGGATGCTGTAAAATGATTGCCATTCTTCTTCCCCTACCAGCTTCAGAGAGGGAAGGGGTGGAGTTCACCTTTCAGGGTCAGAACTACCGTGTTAATCCTTTCACAACCAGTGGCAAAATATATTGCCAATTTGTCGGTGGCTATGAGAGGGTTAACTCTTCAGCTTTTGCCTGAGTACAGATAGTCAAGATTCAGACCTGGATTCCCTGCAGTCAGAATTCAGCCATGACTCTGGAAAATCTGTTTTTTCTTCATTCTTCCTTCCCAAAACAAAGTGCTTATCTGGGGGAGTGTGGTGAGATAAAAGATGGTAACAGTGAGCACTGTGTTGTTTGAAGTATCACTTTTCATATGCATCTTCAAATTGTAGCTTAACCTTTATCTGTAGTCACTGTACATCCCATTATACTGTTGCAAGATAAGGGAGCTGATCCCAGAACCAGGGCTCTGCTTTTTTCTGCTTACCTAGCTTTTTCCATTAGTTTGAACCAGAAAAATAAGTCTTTATTTCTCTACTTAAAGAACAATCTGTGAATTATTGTTAGAGCAAAACAGTGTCTATAGTCAATTAGATAAAGTGCGTTTTTAAATGCTGAGGGTTTTTCCCCCCATAAAAAGTAAAAATTAAAATATTCTATTTAGGATAATATTTCTGATAAAGCAGAGATCACAGACATTTAAAAATTGCACTTGCTTATAACTAAGAAGCCGATACTGCCTCCCTTATAAAAGTTAGGAGAGTTCTATAAATATGGGTTTTCGGATTAAATTAATGCAATTTTTATTTTTTATCCGTAAAACATTTATTTTGCTTTCTGATATGTTCAATATTTCATATATTGTATTGAAATATATGTCGCAAGATATATAGATAAAAGTTTACTTTTAATCCAGGATACAACTGCACTGTTATTTAGTGCTTAATTTATAGATGTTTTCTTAGTTTTTTTTAAATGTTCACCTATATATAACATTTATTAAAGAGATTTAAGAGACCACATACACACACACAGATCTATCTATCTATCTATGTAAGAATATACATATGTGCATTTAAGAAACTATAAATATAAGTAGGAGCTTTCCTCTAAGATTTATTTAAGATTTAAAATGAACATTTCTGTAACAAAGTTAATATTTACACAATACAGATTTCTAGACAGAAAATAAAATGTGTCACAGATGCTGTATTTATGTTACAATATGGCATCCTGATCCAAAGTGTTGCCGAATAAGTTCATTAATGTTGTATATTTTATACTCTTCTTAATAGAAACAAATCCTACCATCAGATGTTAGTAATCAGTTGCACAGATTGCTATCCAGAAGTGAATCAGTACTGAGTATTAGTGTTACAGTTACAGATACGATTTTCATGGAGATTGTCCTAAAAGTTGACTCAAGGCTTAATGGAACCTGCTTCAGACTCTGAACCTGGGAATCTTTATCTTAAAGAAAAAAAATCTCAGTGATCTGTACCCATAAACCTTTGGTTATGTAGATCTCAAAGAACAGTTTTCTTGAAGATATGATATACAATCAGTTTTCCCAGATACAACTCCAGGAGCTTGTCTGCACTTCCTCCTAACCATGATAAGAACTGCTGCAGTTATGCCATATGTGCACTACACCCTGAAATGGATATTATGTGGAACTTTTAGTGCAAAACTGGGTGCACAGCAACAAACATGCCCAAGACAGCAAGCTCACTGGTGTGTACCCACAACAGTTACATTATTACATTACACCCCAGGGAATTATGTGCAGAAAAATTCAAAATTATACACTGAGCCCTGAGGGCTGCATGTGGCAGCATGGAGCTGGCCTGGCCTGATACACTGGCATGTGCCTTCGAAGCAGACCAGTCTGGCTTCACACCAGCATGTGGGGCCCATGGCACTGCAGGTGGGAGCCACACACCATCAGGCTGGGCCGGCTCTATGCCTGCAGGTGGGGCTTCCAGCACTCCAGCAGGAAGCCTCACATGGTGGCATGGAGCCCATCTAGCCCGATGGCAAGTGGACTGGGAGCTCTGGGGAGTTGCGTGCCATCAGGCTGGGTGGGCTCTGTGCCTCTGTGTGCAGCTTCCCACTGGAGCCAGTTTAGTCCAATGGTATACAGTTCCTCCCTGCAGTGATGTGAGCCCCCTGTGCTGGCATGGAGCCAGCCTGGTTTGGTCCAAAGGCGTGTGCCAGTGAGCCGGGCAAGCTCTGTGCTGCCATGTGCAGCCCCTAGGACTCAGCTGGAGCCATGTGCCATTGGGGGGCTCTGCCTGCCATGGCCATGAATGCCCCAAGGGCCCTCTGCCTGCTGCTGCTGCCACTGGCAGTGGGGGTGGTGCGCGATAGGGGGTATGTAGCGGGGGGGTGGGCGGGATACCCATCCCCACACCCACCCTCACAAATCCTTACATCCACTCACAAACCCCACACCTCACTCCAGCAGGCAGGAGCTCCCCTCCCCACTTAATAGTTGTCCAGTTGTGCATCACACTCAGTGCCTCCACAGGGGTCTCCCAGCTAGAGTGCCAGGAGCCCCATGGAAGTATAGAGGCACAGAGCCCACCTGGGTTAAATTATGCAGTATTATGCAATTATGTATTGTCATATGTTTTATGTACAAAATGACAAGGGCATATAATTGTGTGATTCCCTGGGGTGTACATCATGTTTTGGGCTGTTGTATGTATGGAGTGAGCATGCCAGGCTCATTTCCCAAAATAATAACCTATATTTTCTATCTCCCTAGTTCTAACCCATGTCAAGGTGTTTTGCCCCTTGGCAACTAGTCACTGAGAATTGAGAAAGCTCACTGAAGTCAGCCTGATTAGGGTCCCAGGTTGAATCCAGCACCAAGAAGAAATTAGCCGGCTCCAACTAAAATTCTCTAAATAGACATTAATGTACTAAAGGAATAAAGCTTAAAGTTACTACAAGGTTTTTATTAATTAAGATTATTTTAAGCCCTGGCCCACCGGCTAGATCTGGTCCCTGGCACTGTCACATTGCCCATAAAGCTCCCTTTGGGTCTTTGGGGAGTCCCATGGACCGTGACCCTGCTCGCAGGGTGGTGCAGGACCCAATCTTGATGCATGGGGCTGGACGGAGGTGGTGCAGGGCTCTGGGGCCTGATCCCAGCATGCAGTGCATGTGGAGATGGCAAGGGATCCGATCCTGGTGTGCACGCCCAATGTGGCTTGTGGAGCCAACCAAGGCCTCAAGGGGCCCAATCCAGGGGTGAGGGCCCAATCCTGGTACATGAAGTCAAAAGGTTAAATACCACTGGTTTAAAATACTGGTGCTCAACCTTTCAGAGTGGCAGGGCAGGGGTTGCACCATGGACCACCACTCCTATCCAGTATGGAAGCTGGGA